TTGTATTTTAATTCATCGTTGACGATTAATTCAACTTTTAATTACTTCTCTTCGAAGTGCAATCGAACCGAATGCAATCTTCATGTCAAGATTAATTAATTGTACATATATATATATATTTATATATATATGTATATCGTCGAATTAATTATCGCAAGCAACGATTAATTTCAAAGAGTATTAAAAACTCGATTTCCACGTTTACGAGAGGAGCTCGTATGAATTTATAAATCGGCTTTTTCCTCCCCATAGAAAAATAACATCCTATCGAGCCAAAAACTACTTTTGCCCCACAATCGGTTCATTCACTCGATGAAAGGACTATTCACATGATTTCTCGCAAAGCAAAACATTTCGCGGGAGAAGTTTTATTCGCGCGAACCGGGATAGAAGAATGTGCTTACTTAGTGTCCTGTTTCAAACTCTCGTAACCCGTACGGGTGAAAAACCGAGCAACGCATCCCTTTTTATATTAACCTTGATGAATTGGCGAGCGTTATATTAGTTCGAGATTGACATCGATGTGATAAAATCCTTGCGAACGAATTTTCTATAAATTTGCATCTCGTTTCATTATTTACACGAAACATCTCGTACGAATTCTTTCTCTTCTTCTTAAACGAACTTCTTATTAAATTCGGATCAATTCGTTTCGAGACGGACGTGCTGCTTTATCGAACGTCGATAATTTCGAAAAGTGACGCCGACCGTGTTTTCGTTCGATGTTAACGTTTTCGCGATATATTATGCAGGCAGTTTGTATCGTTAATTTAAGTGATTATACAGCGCATAAAGTAGAAAATACGTTTGTTTCTGAAACTAGTTATAAATAAAACGGAGAAGATAAAATGAAAAGATCGCTACGATTTAATAAATTAACATCATCAGCATCGATTCGTTTCTATTCGCAAATAAAACATTAACACGCGCGAGTAAATTACTCGTTTTATTAAGAGTAATGACTCTTTTCGAAATGGAAAATGATATTTTAATTTATATATATATATATATACATATATAATATATACATATATATGTATAGCGAATTGGTAATATACGTTGGCAACCACGCATAAAATATTCAATACTAAATAATGTAGCAATGAAATATGTAGCTGCAACTTCTATATATTTACACACTTTAATCGCGATATTGAAGTATCGCGAAGAAAGGAATATATACGCGTCAATTCAAAGAGATATTAATGACAGTGTTCGTGTCAAAAGGAAAAGATCGATGGACGTTTATTTCTTCTGAATAAAATCAAAGTATCGTGTAAATACTATACATCCCGATAAATCATCATCCCTCCTTCAACGTTAATTCGCGAATTAACGCGAACGAATCTATGGAATTAGCTATATAAAAACTGTACAAATATATAAATACGATAAATACTCTACACGGATCAAAGAAAAAAAAAAAAGAAAAAAACATCAATCCTGTATTACTTTTCTTGAAAAATTAATTTCTCAAATCTTGTACGCGTTTCTTTCAACGGTGATTAATCGCTGTACACCTATTAATAATCCTCTTTGCACGTCGGCCAATTTTTTGTCGTACTTGAAATCGGAGGTCTCGGATACGACCTTGTTAAGATACCGGTCGAAAGCATTTCGTTCGTTCCCTTCAACGTACGGATGAGATTCGCACGTACACGTCGCGTCGTTGCTCTCTTTTTTTTTTTTTTTTTTTTTTTTTTTTTTTTTTTTCTCTTTTCCTTCTTTCCACGTGGCGACGCGAAATAACCCATGTCATCGCTTTCGACACATTTTTTTATCACTTTTTTTTTCTCTTCTCTTCTTTTCTTTTCTTTTCTTTTCTTTTCTTCTCCCCTCGTGGACGATTAATAGTTGACAGCCGAATATCATTACGTTTCGATCCGCGCCGATTCGAAAACGAATTCTTCACGTGTGTCACGTTTCTAATTTCCGTGAAATTTCGGCCCTCTGATTTACGAGTTGACGATGATTCTAAGATAAAGAAGCTCTCTAGATTTGATTCGAAAATTCCGAAAGAGAGACGGAGACGGATGAGAAGTCAAATTAAATTAGGAGAGAGAGAGAGAGATATTAGGGTATTAAGGATAGTTTAATTTTCAAATGTGTAAAATGGAAATTTCGAATATCGGAGAGGATTAATTATATAACAAAATAATCTCTCAATTATAATATATTTACCGAGATATTATTACGCAAATTAACTGTGTCATCAAAGCTGGATTTTCGTTCCACGTTCGTTGATAAGAAGAGAATTCTTTATCTCGAGGGATCTCTGAATACAACTAGAACATTTTTTTTTACTCGATATTGTTCCAATTAACCCAAAGTTATTTCCTTTCCTCCTATATAAATATACCGTTTTATTAATATCGCAAGATATTAATATAATTCATTTAATAATCACAACTTCTGTACAAGCCGTTCTGTTTTCCAATCCTATCTGCAATTTATAATATATATATAAAATATCTTGGATCTGGATCCTTAGCAAAGGGAGCAAAGGTCAATGTCTCGCGGTGCGGTGACACGGTTTACAATTTTTCCTCTCGCAGCTCGAATAAATTATTAATCATAATTATTTCGTAAGATCAGATAAGAGATGTTAATTAAGTCGATCCGAGTTCGTATACGACACATATAAAGAACACGCGTTGAGCGAAACGAATTTTCCTCCTAGATTTCTTCCTAGATGGAAGATTTTCCTCGCCGATAAGAAGAAGAAGCTCGATAAAGCTTTTTCCTGAAACCGCTAACGAGTAGATAATATCCGCTCGCGGATATCGCTTAATAGACGGTATTTTCTCTTTTTCCGGCTTGTCGACTCGCGATTGTGGCCAATGCTCGCCGGCTAATGAACTATTTCATTCTTACCGTTTCCAGGCATCAGCCAGGGAATGTTAACACGGTGTAAGAAGAGGAGAAGGAAGAAGCAGGCATTCAGGAGAATTTATCTCCAACGCGGAACCAACACGTGGTGCTTGTGGTGAGTACAACTCGATAAGTAGCAAAACGTTCTTGATTAATGCTCAAGTTGACGCGTCGCCATTCTCGTGGGAAGAAATTTCAAATATTTTAACAGGGATCGAAGGATGTGTCGATCGCATTCGTCCCTTTTAACTCCTCGTCCTGATCGAATCAACTTCCTTTCTGGTTCAAAAAAAAAAAAAAAAGAAACAAAAAAACCAAGTCACAAACCTTTTCCTCTCTTTTCTTCCCACTATTATTCGTATTATTCTTCCAAATGTTTCGACGCGTTTCGATTTTCAAAATTTATCCTTCTTTTCAAATTTCTCTTTTTACAATCCGATTGCACACGGATAAAATATTGGAGGGAAAAGAGAAGAGTCCGAGGCAACGTCCGCACGCGTGCGGCGGCTATTTCACAGTTCGCTATCGCTGCTCGCCGCAATAAAATCGGTAGCAGCCGTTGGCGGCAAGTAATCGGCGCGCGTATTGATGCAAAGCTCGTTAAACCGGGTTGCATATTGCCCTCGAAACGGGGATAACGATTGCAACTGTTTAAAGAAATCGAGATCGCTATTGCTTCTTCGTATCGTGCGTGTCGAGCCCTCGGTTCGGCAATAATATGATATAGCATAGGCTAAGCTTGGAAATTATTAGGGCAGATAAGAAGGGATCGGCGCCTGTCCGTTCGATCAATGGGAACGCGTTGCCGTTTACCCTCACGGGAAACGGAACGATCAATGAAACAACTTGGCCCGCTCTGGAAACCGATTAAGCGGAACGAACTGTCATCGTAGCTGTCCTACGGTTTAAAGACGTTTTATTGCGGTTCTTGGAAATAGGGGAGATAGATAACAATGCGAGTTAATTGACAGAGATGATCTTCCAATATTTGCGGCGATACGTCAAATCTATCTTATCGATTATCCATCCACATCGGATATCGTTGGAATCCGTGGAATTTCCGAGGAATTCGTTTCTGATTTCGAATTCTCTTCTCTTCTCGTGAAGAGTTATTACGATTCGTGGGGTAGGAAAAAAAAAAAAAAGGAAAGAAAAGAAAAAAGAAAGGAAAAAGGAAAAAAAAAANNNNAATGAGGATTCACGTGTTGGCAATAAAATTCTCTACGAGTAGTAAAGAGTTATTCCCTTGCGTTTCATGGGTTACGCAGGGTCAGCTGAGCGATGAATTTTCGATTTAGGACACCGTAAATGTGGTTATGATAATGAGAAGCTGTGAGTTTCGCAAACCGTTCGCGGAACTCTTTACCGTGCCGTGTTTGGGCATAGGATAGGTTTGGAAATATAATAGGTTCAACACGCGCCGCTAATCCGTATTCAAACGCGGCGAATTCTGACAGATTCCCCCGCTATATTTCAACGGGTTTGGCCCCGTTGATCGAAGCGCCCTTATTCCACGTGCTCATTGAATAATCAATTAGTTTTTTGCGCTAAATTCTTCCAACAAACGAGACCAACGTCGTATCTAATCGAATTTACGATCGTTTTTTTTTTTTTTTTTTGTCATTTATAATTATATTCGAATACAAAATTCATTGAAATATTCTCCCATATATTCTCTTGAATTGATTTTCTTCAAAAAAAAAAAAAAAAAGAAAGAAAGAAAGAAAATCCATCGTATCAATTACTACACTATTCCATCGAATCGAGGAACCGTACGTTACCTCCCTATCGTAAGAAGATCCATCATCATCCCAGTAGCATCTTCTCAAACGATCGTTTTTTCCCCCTTATCCCGATAATGTGGTTAAACGGCGATACTGTTCGGTTCATAAGGGGCCGGATCGTTTCCCCATGGTGGAAAGAAGAAATTTCCGCGTTCCAGTCAATCAGTCGATCGCGCCGAGTGTGGTGGTTGGTGTTGAACTCGAATAATCTTGTTACAGTGGCCGGTGGACACTGG